ACTCACCTTGGCCTCCCAAAGTGCTGGGATTACAGGCTGAGCCACCGAGCCCGGCGGATTTTTTAAGTGATTCAACTACATGCTATCTACAAGTGTCTCACTTTACATTCAAAGAACACATTGGTTAAAAGTGAAATGATGGAAAAAGATATACCATGCAAACAGTAATCAAAGGGAACTGTAGTGGTTATACTAATATCAAAAAACAATAGACTTTAAAACAAAAATTGTTACAAGAGACAAAGAATGGGTCAATTTATTGAAAAAATATATGAATTATAAAGATATATGCACCCTCTAACAGACCCTCCAAAATACATAACACAAAACTGACAAAATTAAAAGAGAAATAGACAACTCAACAATAATGGTTGTAGACTTCCATATTATAATTTAAAAAATGGAAAGCATATGTAGAACATCATTGAGAATGTAGAACAGCATTATACATCAACTAGATCTAACAGATATCTATAGCATACTCTACCCAAACACAAAAGAATACACAGTCTTCTCAATAGCACATAGAACATTCTCTAGTATCAGTCAAGTCACAAAACAAGTCTCAATAAATTTTAAATGATTCAAATAATACAAATTATTATTGCATGCAGAGTATATTTTCTGACCACAACAGAATCAAGTCAGAAATCAGTAATAGAAAGAAATTTGGGAAATTTACAAATATGTGAAAATTAAATAACACACCCTTAAGTAACCAACTGGTCAGAGAATAAATCACAAGGTAAATTAGAAAATATTTTGAGATTCATGAAGACAAAAATACAATATACAAAACTTATGGGATGTAGTGAAAGCAGTGGCCAGAGGAAAATCTTTAGTTGTAACTGCCAGCCTTAAAAAAGAACAAAGATTGCAAATCAATCATCTATCCTTCTAGCTTAAGAAACTTGAAAAAGAAGAGCGAACTAAATTCAAAGCAAGAGCAAAGAGGACATAATAAAGATTAGAATGGAGGCCGGGCTTTGGGAGGCCAAGGTGAGTGAACTGCCTGAGCCCGCGGGTTCGAGACCTGCCTGGGAAACTTGGCGAGACCTCATCTCTACAATAAATCAAAAAAATTAGGCCGGGCTCGGTGGCTCAGCCTGTAATCCCAGCACTTTGGGAGGCCGAGGTGAGTGAATTGCCTGAGCCACGGGTTCACGACCCACCTGGGCAACTTGACGAGACCTCATCTCTACAATAAATCAAAAATTAGCTGGGTGTGGTAGTGCGCGCCTGTAGTTCCAGCTACTTGGAAGGCTGAGGTGGAAGGATCGCCGGAGCCCAGCAGGTCGAGGCTGCAATGGCCAGGAGCAGCCACTGCACTCCAGTCCGGGTGACAGAGTGAGATTCCGACTCAAAAAAAAAAAAAAATGAGCCGGGTGTGGTAGCGCGCACCTGTAGTTCCAGCTACTTAGAAGGCTGAGGCGGAAGGATCACTGGAGCCCAGCAGGTCAAGGCTGTAGTGGCCAGGAGCGGCCACTGTACTCCAGTCTGTGTGACAGAGTGAGACTCCAACTAAAAAAAATAATAAAAAACAAAGAAAGAAATTGAATCAATAATCAAAAAACTTCAAACAAAGAAAAACTCAGGACCAGATGATATCACTAGTGAATTTTACCAAGTGTTTAAAATTCTTCCCAGCAAAAGAAGAAGGTTAAACACTTCCTAACTCATTTTATGAGGCTAGTATTATTCTGATTTCAAAACCAGGCAAAGACATCACAAGGCAAGAAAACAACAATCACATATTCCTTATGAATGTAAATGCAAAAATGCTTAACAAAATACTAACCATATCCAGCAGCATTTTGAAAGGATTTATTCCATGACTAAGTGGTATTTATCTCAGGGATGCAAGGATGGTTCAATGAATGAAAATCAGTATACTACACCATATTAAAAGATTGAAAAAAGCACCCAATTATCCCAATTGGTGCAGAAAAAGTATTTGACAAAATCCAACACACTTTCATGATTTAAAAAATATACTCAATATTCATCAAACTAGGAATAGAAATGAACTTCTCCAACCCAATAAAGGGAACCACATTAATATGCTTGGGCTGCCATAACAAAATACCACACACTGGGTGTCTTAAACTGCAGACATTTATTTTCTCACAGTTTTATAGGCTAGACAACCAAAGTCAAGGTGTTAGGACTTGCTTCACATGAGGTATTTCTTCCTGACTTGTAGATGGCACCTTCTTACTGTGTTCTTCACATGGCCCTTCCTTTATGCTCATGTGGAGAGAGAGATATCTCTGGTGTTTCTTTCTCTTCTTATAAGGACATCAGCTCTATCAGAGTAAGACCCCCTCCTTATTATCTCATCTAACCCTTATTACCTCCTAATAGACCTTATCTCCAAATACAATCACATTGTGGGCTAAAGCTTTAACATATGAATTTAAAGCTTCAACATTTGAATTTTAATGGACCGTTAAAAAACAGGCATTTATGAAAACCCCCAGCTAGCATCATACTTAATAATGAAAGACTCAAATCCTTCCCCTTATAATCTGGAACAAGACAAGAATGTCAGCTCTTGCTACTTTTGTCAACATTGCATTGGTAGTTCTATTCAGAGCAATTAGGCAAGAAAGAAATAAAAGACAACCATATTGGAAAGGAAAAAGTGACACTATCTCTATTTTCAGATCACATACTCTTATATATAGAAAGTCCTAAAGAATAAGAAAAGGCCCTTAAAGCTAATAAACAAGTTGAATAAGCTTTCAGAATACAATAATCAGTTTTATTTCTATATGTTAGCAATGAACAATTAAAAAATAAAATTTAATAAAAGAATTCCATTAATACATTATTAAAAATAAAATAATTAAGAATAAATTTACCAAAGAAGTACAAAATTTGTACACAGAAAACTATAAAACTTTGAAAAAAAATTCAAGATTTGAATAAATGAAAGACATTTCATATTCATGAATTGGAAGACTTAATATTTTTAAGATGACAATACACCTTGAGTTGATCTACAGATTCAGTATAATCCCTATCAGAATCCCAGCTGACTTCTCTATAGATATTGACAAGCTGATTCTAAAATTTACATGGAATTATAAGATACTTGGATACCTAACACAGTCTTGGGTTAAAGAACAGTTGGTGGACTTACATGTCTCAATTTCAAAACTTAACACAAAGCTTCAGTAATCAAAACACTGTGGTAGTGGCATAAGGATAGACATGTAAATCAATAGAATAGAATGAACAATCCAGCAATAAATCTATACATCTATGGTCAATTGGTTTTAAACAAGGGAGCCAAGATGATTTGATGGTAGAAAGAATGGTTTTTTTTCAACAAATAGTGCTGGATCAATTTGATATCCACACACAAAAGAATTAATTTGGGTCCCCTACCTCATACCGCATAAAAAAATTAACTCAGAACAGATCAGAGTCCTAAATGTAAGAACTAAAACTATAAAATTCTTAGAAGGAAACATAGGTGTAAATCTTTGTGACTTTGGATTAGGCAACAGTTTCTAAATATGACATCAGAATTATAAGATATCAAAAAATGAATAAATGGAACTTCATGAAAATATAAAGCTTTTGTGCATCAGGGGACAGTATCAGGAGAGACAACCATAGAATGGGATAAAATACTTGCAAATCACATATCAGACAAGGGTTTACTATCCAGAATATATATTTTAAAGTGTTAAGATTCAATAATAAAAAGACAAACAACCCAATTTTTTAAAAAATTCAATAACTTTTATTATCATTCATATGTTTCTTTTTTTTTTAATGTAGCAAAGGGTATGTATGAAAAAAATATAGCAAAGGAAAAATGTAGCAAAGGAATATATGAGAAAAATGTCTAGGTTTATACGAGTTGCTCCACCTCCACCTGGGATCAGGGTCTCCTGACATCAGGTGCAGCAGTTGCACTTGTCCGATGCCTCTTTGCAGACACATCCCTGGGCACACTTGGCACAGCCCACGGGGCAACAGAGGCAGCAGCTTTTCTTGCAGGACTTGCATTTGCTCTCTTTGCATGTGCAGGAGCCAGCACAGGTGCAGGAGTCACCAACAGTGCAGGAGCAGCTGGGGTCCATGACGAGCCCTGGCGAGGCAGCAGTTCCAGGCGAGAGCAAAAAGACAGCAGGGCACGTGGGAGGGTGCTCAAACAACCCAATTTTTTTTTGAGTTGGAGTCTCATTCTGTCGCCCAGACAGGAGTGCAGTGGCTGCTCCCAGCCACCGCAGCCTCGACCTGCTGGGCTCCGGCAATCCTTCCGCCTCAGCCTTCCGAGTAGCTGGAACTACAGGTGCGCACTACCACACCTGGCTAAATTTTGATTTATGGTAGAGATGAGGTCTCGCCAAGTTGCCCAGGCGGGTCTTGAACCCGCGGGCTCAAGCAATCCACTCACCTCAGCCTCCCAAAGGCACGGGTCTACAGGCTGAGCCACCGAGCATGGCTAACAATCCAATTTTTAAAAATAAAACAAGCAAAGAGCTTGAATAGACATTTTCCCAAAGTAGATCTAAGTGGCTAATAAACACATGAAGAAATACTCAACATCTTTAGTCCTTAGGGAAACACAATGAGATACCACTATACAACCTTCAGGAAGAGCATCAAATGGAAAATAACAGGTGCTGGTGAAAATGTAAGGAATCAGGAGCCCTCATACATTGCCGATGGGAATGTGAAATAGTGCAGCTACTATAGCAAACAAGTTTGTGGTTCCTCAAAGAATTAAATACAGAATTCCATAAGACCCAGCAATTCCACCCCTGGCCATATATGCAAGAAGATAACACTGCTGGGAAGGGGGGGATGGAGGAGGGAGGGGAACACGTGACAACCTGCTGCCTACCTGTCAGGAGAGAGGACCAGTTAGAAGCCCAAACTTCGCCTGCATGCAACCTACTTATGTAGTAAATCCTCACGTGTACTCCACAAATCCAAAATAAAATAATAAAGAAAACACATGTTCAAACAAAATGTGCACATAAACGTTCATAGCAATATTTGTCATAATAGCCAAAAGGTGGAAACAGCCCAGATGTCTACCAACTAATGAATGAATAAATGAAATGTGATCAGTCTACATAATAAACTAGTATTCAGCCTTAAAAAGAAATGAACTACTGATATGTTCCACAACATGGATGAATCAGGAAACTATTATTCTAAGTTGAAAGAAGCCAGGCACAAAAGACCCCATATTTATGTTTTTGTTTTTACAAGATACTCAGAATAGGCAAATCCACAGAGATAGAAGAAAGTAGGTTCTCCATCAGCAGGGGCTGGTGGTGGTCATGGCAGGGGTGGTGGTAGTGCAGGGAAGGAAGTAACATCTTACTGGGTACAGGGTTTCTTTTGGGGGTGACAAAACGTTCTGTAATTAGATATCGGTGATGGTTGCACAACTCTGTGAATATACCAAAAACCACTGAATGGGATTTTCAAAAAATGGTTTAAATTGTGCATTTACACTAATTTTATCTTTTTTTTTTTTTTTGAGTTGGAGTCTCACTCTGTCACCCAGACTGGAGTGCAGTGGCCGCTCCCAGCCACCACAGCCTCGACCTGCTGGGTTCCAGCGATCCTTCTGCCTCAGCCTTCCGAGTAGCCGGAATTACAGGCACGTGCTACCACGCCCGGCTGATTTTTTGATTTATTGTAGAGATGAGGTCTCGCTGCCCAGGCGGGTCTCGAACCCTCAGGCTCAGGCAATCCACTCACCTCAGCATCCCAAAGGTGCGGAATTACAGGCAGAGCCACCGAGCCTGGCTTAATTTTATCTTAATAAAAGAGTTCACCTGGGATTGATTTTTGTGCATAAGGTGATAGGATCCACTTTTTATTTTTCCTCTGGGGATACCCATTCAATACCCATTTATTGAAAAAGATCTTCCAGGTGCAGTGGCTCATGCCTGTAATCCCAATACTTTGGGAGGTGGAGGCAAGAGGATTGCCTGAACCCAGGGGTTTGAGACTAACCTTGGCAATTTGGAAAGACTTAATAAATCAAAAACCTAGCCAGCTGTAGTGACGCATCCTGTAGTTCCAGCTACTTGGAAGGCTGAGGCAGTAGGATTGCCTGAGCCCAGCAGATCGAGGTGGCCATGAGTGTGACACTGCACTCCAGAAGAGTGAGACTCCAAGTCAAGAAAAAAGAAAAAAAAAAAGGAAAAATCTGTTCTTTCTAGAACCATGTCAGCTCCATCATAGGTCAAGTGTCTAAGTCAGTGGGATCAATTTCTGGACTCTCTAGTCTGTTCTGATGGCCTCTGTCTACACCTGCAACCACCATGACTGTAACTTCATTGTAAATTTAAAATCTGAGACAGCAAGTTCTCCTACCCTGTTCTACTTCAAGAGCATCTTGACCAGCACAGCAGCTCATACCTGTCATCCCTGTGTTTGGGGAGACCAAGGCAGGAGGATTGCTAGAGACCAGGAGTTCAAGATCAGCCTGGGCAACATAGTGAGATCCTGTCTTTAAATAAATACCAATTACAAAGAAATTGTGTCTTGTCCTTTCTTGGTCTCTTGTATTTTGAATCAGCTTGTCAATTTCTAAAAAAAATAATCGTAGTGATACTTTGGCTCAGATTGGATTAAATCTATAGATGATTTTGATATCCTTAAATCATTGAAATGTTCTATCCAAGAATATGGTATAGTGGTATACTAAGAATGTGGTTAAGTTTTATAATTTCTCCTATAAAAGCCTTGCACTTCCTTTTTTCTTTTCTTTTTTTTTGGAGTCTCACTCTTGTCACCCAGTCTGGAGTACAGTGGCACACTCATGGCCACTGCAGTCACAACCTGCTGGTCTTAGGCTATCCTTCCACCTCAGTTTTCCAAGTAGCTGGAACTACAGACGTAAGCCACCACGCCCAGCAAATTGCACTTCTTTGTAAGCATTTTTTTCCAGACTCTAATATTTTTAAATTATATAAATTATACAGGCCGGGCTCGGTGGCTCAGCCTGTAATCTCAGCACTTTGGGAGGCTGAGGGGAGTGGATTGCCTGAGCCCGTGGGTTCGAGACC